CACCGTATCTTAATACACAGTATGACTAACAATGACTTTTCTCGCTGTCAAAACCTCAGCATTAAGGTTATGGCTTGACGGTGCCGTCATGCTGCATTGCACCATGGGAGTTGTTTTTTTTTTTCTTCCCCTCCATTAACAACTGTCGTTAATTTGACAGTGTGTTGTAGAGTTTGGAGTTGTTTTTCACATAAAACTTCACCTTGGCTTGCATTCCTTTGTTATTCCATATTAGATCAATCTACTCGCCAGGTTGATGTTATATTCATAGAGTGAATTCATTGTTAAAAACCACCATTAAAACTGAATGAAAACTGAATATTTCATTTTTATCCAAAGCCTTTTTTGGAGATAACAAAAAAAATGCCCTATGACAGTTCTTCACCTGGCATTAACTCGCTAAGACATGCAAGGTTAGCCTTGTTGGTCTGATAGAATCGGCTGAATTTATCTTGAAACAACCAAAAAGTATCAGTAGTTTTCTTTTGTGTCAGTTCACTGTTAAAATCACCAACAAACTGAAGGGTGTTTAGGAGCCTTTTCTAACCGAAAAAGTGATGATTTTGTATCGTAGTAGCTTGCTAACCCTAATGACGTTAAACTAGCCATGTACAGGATGTTATGTGTTCAATTTTAAAAATGACGTATGACAATGCTATTTATTTCCAGTTATATTGTCAGCCACAAACTGATTTTTACGGAACATGACCTCACTAACCCATGCAAGATTAGCCTGCTAGCCATGTAGCTTATTGTGTACATTTATTGTTAAACAGCCACAATTTAATGTTGATTGACTAAAAGCTATTTATTGCAAGTCTTATCAAGCTTTAAAAAAAAAAGCACTAGATAAGCCTGCTCGCCATCTTGCTAATGTTATATTTATAGGCTGAGTTCAATGTCAACCAACCTCTAGTCATGCCTGACAGAAAACGGTTGTTTTAAAATTCTAAATATAAGTTTGAAAATGAATTACAAGTAACATGACCTTCTGTAGCATTTGCGGAACCGCATTATCGTACCCGTCGCGTTGTAATGTTTAAGGTGGATTCATTTATAACTCTCCACTAGTAATGAATAAAGGACAGATGACATGCTGTAACAAGTGTGAATATTTTAATCATTCTCCCATCGAGATAACAATTTGCAGAAGATTACGTAGCAGTAGCTTGATAACCACTTGTTGGATTTAGCCAGCTAATAAATTCCTCCTCAGTCAGTTGTAGTGAAGACCTTTTATAAGCGATTCCGTGCTAAATGTTTTTTTTTTTCTTGCTGTCGCACATATTAGTTCTTTACAGTTAATGGATGAGTGAGTCACAGTGCATCTGCGGGGTTCACTTTGATTGCTTCTTTACTCGAATGATTATATTTTTTAATGCTCTATAAGCCATTTATGTTTGGAGGACATTTTTTTATCTCCGACCTCATCGTGAAATAAATCCCGACAGGCCAGGGTGAGGGTCGGCGCCCACTGAATAATCGCGAGTGGACAATGGTCACGGGGTTGCATGCTGGGCATCTGGCAGGCTTCCCAAAAAGCACCTACAGCCCCGAAACGTTGGCACACGAAAGCTGACGCCCGTGCCAAGCCGTCGCGCTGCTGTGCCGTGTTGTGTTGTGTTGTGTTGTGTTGTGCTGCGCTGTGCTTCCGGTGGCTTTACTAGCCTTCTAGCACACTCTAGTAAATCTCCTCCTTTATTGTGCCAGTTGAAGCGCGTCTGTGGTGCCAGATATTGCTAAACGCAGAGCAGCGCATCTCTTGACCTAAATCATCCAACACGCTGACGGGGAGCTGAAGATTACGGCGCCTCTCTACTGTTGACTTTTGCACTGGCAAATGCGCTTCCAGTTAAAGGAAGCAGGAGCTGGTCAGACGGACTGAATAAGGAAGTTGTGATACTCTGCGGTCATTCATACTCGGTCATCAATGCTGTGTCAAAATGAGCAACTGTATCTCCTGTTCCTACATTTGATCTGATGGGGTAGCGGGAAGCAGTTGTTCTTAATTTTTTTTCGAATGTGGTCACTTGTTGGCTAAGCCATAATTTGAGGCCATGTTACCTGTTGCTGTGTCCGGTCGCCGCGATGCAATTCTGCGGTCTCTCCGCTTTGCCGCAGAACTCATTTTTCTTTCGCCGCCCTTAGGCTCCTTTGCTGTGTCGTCGCAGAAGCCCATCGTCAATCACGTGATGCATATGCTTTTTTTTTTTTTTTTTTTTTTTTTTTT